CCGCCACTGAGGACAGAGCGGAGGGTTCAACGGGGACCTCACCGCCAGCGGAGGGCTCAACGGGGACCTCACCGCCACTGAGGACAAGGGCGGCGCCGAGGCGGGCCTGGCAGCCAGTGAGGGCGTCGGCGACGGCGACTGCGTGGACGGCCACACCGCGACCGGCGCCGACGACGGCGGCGGCGACCCGGGCGGCGTCGAGCAGAGCCTCACCAGGGAGGGCGGCAGCAGGATGGCGTGCACCCGGAGCGGGGCGCGGCGCTCGCCCTGGCCGCCGCCCGGCACGCTGAACAGGAACAACTCGCTCGCCATCGCACCATCGGCGCCGTTTTGAGCAGAGACTCAATTCCGATTTCCGCGGGCGGCGCCTGGAAGTATCCGTGCAACAGGAGGGTGTGACCAGCCGGCCCGGCCCGGCACCTCGCGGCGCCTTCCGTCCCGCGGCCCCGGTGCGCCCGCACTGGCACAAGCACCGGCCGGCCCGCGGGACCCCGCCGAGGGCTGTCCGCGGGGCTGTCCGCGGGACACACGCCACAATGCCGGCCGGCACACAATGCCTGTCCCGCACAGAAGGGCGCCCGCGCCCAGCCCGCGCCCAGCCCTTGCCGTAACGTGACGCGTACACGTCGGCGCTCAATAAGCAGTCGGGCGAAGCCGCGGCGCTCGGCGAGACGCACAGAATACAGGCATTAGGCGAATTGGGTGTGTTGAAGGGGCGGCGCTATGGGAGCGTCTGTCGTGGGCACGATGTGGCCATTCAGCGCCCCCGCCGGCCGGCCGGCCCTGGGGCGCGGCACCGCACAAGGGCGCCAGGGGGAGGCACTCCCCTTCTGCTGGATCAAGCAGTAATAATGGAGTCCACGGCAGCGCTTTGTTTCCGACAATCCAAAGTAATTAGACCACTCGGGGGGCCGCTCGGCTCCGGGCCAGGGCGCGCCGGGGCGGGGCGGGGCCAGCCACCCCCTCAACGGACATAATCCCGTTCCCAGCCAAACCCTCCCTCCCTACTCCTACTCTCTCTAGCCACAGCAGCCCCCACTCCGGGGTTCTTGCCCCCTTTTTTCTGGCGCGGGGTTTAAAGACGCACCCCCGCCACGCCCCGCCACGCCGCGCCCGGAGGCCAGCAGTGTAGCTGGAGAGATAAAAGTAAATGGCTGGCGGCCATGAAATATGCATGACTATTAAAAATACGGACGTCTACCCGGCCGCGAACTCACCCCCAGCGCGCAGCGGGCCAGGGGGCGCCGGGGATATAGAGGTTAGAGGGGCCGGAGAGAGAGAGAAGGAGGGAGGGAAAAAGAGAGGGAGGGAGGGAGAAACAGAGGGAGGCGAACACGAACCACACCAACTTCCACGGCGCTCCAGCTTCAGAGAGGAGGGAGAGACGACCCCGCGAAAATTATCCCCCTCACACCACAAAGGGCAGTAAAGCATGAAGCAAAATAAAAAATAAAAGCATCTTTTAGAAAGGAAGGAAGAAGAGAGCAAAAAAAAAGAGTCCTCTTGCAGCGCGAGGTCCCCCTCACTCTACCGGCGCAGCAGCAGCAGCAGCACTTCATCGCAAAACGCGATACGGCGCTCGCAAGAAAAATGCCCCACAAACAGCATAATTACAGCTTTAAAGTTTTAACGACTTGCGAGGCGCGCGGCGCGGCGGAGCGAGCCTGCCTTGCCTTTACGGCGGTTATCAAGGCGCAGCGTCGCGAAAAGAGGAGGGAGGGGGAGGGGGAGGCAGGAAGTACGACACGGCTGCCATTTCAATATCCCGCCATTCCGCAACGCCGCGCCACCACGACCCGACCCCAAGTGAGGCGACGCCTCTAGCAGTCATCAAAGGACTGAAACGACCACGCTGGGCCAAAGGGACATGGAAGCGGGAGGCGGGGAGGTTCCTCCCTAGTCCGTCCACCCGCCCCTCCGTCCGTCCGTCCGTCCGTCTCCTTGCTTGCCCCAGGCCGGGAGCCGCCGGCAGCAGCGCGACGTGTTTACAAGGCTAACCCTTCATTCATATTCATTTGGTGAGGCGGGGCGGGGCGGGCGGCGCCCGGGAGCCCGCGGGCGAGGCCTCCCTCCCC